TTTGTTGCCCTTTGATCGCCTTTGGATTCGCTCCGAAATCGCTGTTGAAACTCAACTGTCCCTGCGCGGCGCCAATCGCGTTTATATACGCCGATCGACGCATTCTAGAAAGTACCTGTTAAATTGAGAATTACCTAGCACCCGCGAGTACGAAATACCTACTTATACCTACGCAGGTAACACGTATAACTTGTAAACAATTGCAGATGTCGTTGCACTTTCTCCCTTACGCCGCACTGCATAAGACTCATTTCAGAATGAGCCGCATTACTCGACCTCTATCGTGACCCGCGGTGATCTGGCAAATTCGATCTCTGGCACTTTCGCGGTTACGTTTCGAGAGCGTTTGTGACATTATTTATAAATTTAACATTCAACAATAATATGTAGTTGTACATTTATTTTAATTAAAATTCTAAATATACAAATTGTTAAAGTTAATAAAATGTAAAGTACTAATAGGCATATCAAATAGGTATATAATAATTTAACGTTTTAGTAAACCAATATTCAGTGTTTAATTTCAGATCACAATATTAGCGAAATTTTCGCAAGTCAAATCAAGCAAGCCCAATCACGAAAAAGTTGCGTTTTGCATTAAATAGTTACCATGGAAACCGCCAGACCCATCATCAGCTCAGATCCATGTTAAAATATATTGCATTGTCATCGGATTAAAAACGCTCAATCAGAAGCCGGAAATTGAATCAAAGGACATCGGTCAACTCCCATACATCGTTTTATTTCAAACTAAATTGTTGCGTCATTCAACAAATGATTTATCATTAGATTCTGCGTACTTTATGAAGCATAAATATGTAAGAATCACGACGAAAGCCGAAGAAAAAAGATATTTTGCTCTGAACATTTATTGGTTATATTATTTTGACATTTTTATTACGTATCTGTGTTACATTTTTTCATTACAGAAATTGATTTTCTACACAAAAATCATATTATACCAATATCACAGATAAATTCGAACTGTAGTAGAAGCCATTTCATATTACTACTAAGCCACCCTACCATTCAGTATGGTCGCTCTACAAAGATCCGGCTAGGCAGTGCGAGAAGTATTTTCCCGTAAAATAGTAATCCTAATGCACTACTGTGTTTCGGAAAGAGGTTACTGTAGCTAATGTAATTATTTGGTAAGAATTTGAAGACTTACCAACAACGTCTCGGGTGACGTTCGCAGGCCATTGCTGGTTAGTAGTAGTAAAGAGGCGCATCCCAAAATATTTTAGAAATAAATTCCCACCCGTGCGAAGCTGGGACAGGCCGCGCGTTATTATTAAACGTAGGTATTCTATTATTGATCAACAAATACAAGTAAATGAATTGGCTGCTTAAAACCAATAAGCGCGGGCCTATGACTGGGCACAACCAATAGCATACACACTTAGTCAAACGTATTTTTTTTTGTAAACGAACCTTGCTTTCTTGTATTTAAAAAAAACAGTTCTATCGTGACGTAGCAATCAAACCGATAATCACATATTTGAAAATGCATGTTATTTGACAGTTACACTCGAAAATCAAGCCTGAGCTTATGACAAAAATTTCATACATTTTCTGTTTAACGATTGCGATAGCTTTGTATGGGGTCAGGGTCGTTAAGTGACTAAAATCAAAAAAATCGATTCAGTTGACGTATACAGGTGGAATAATATATACAAAAATGGCAACACTAAAGTCTGTTCATTTTAACTTGTCCTATTTGGTAAACAATCTTGCCACAACTATTTAACAAAATCACCAATTTAAAAATAGAATAATAATAAAGTCAATAGTCAGTGAGGAGCTCGATGGCGCCAGTGGTTGATGGCGCGTTCGTCTGCGAACGTTGAAGTTAGGCGACATTCGCAGTGGTCGGTCATTGGATGGGTGACCAAAAATTTACTGTCTCGAGCTCCTCCGTGCTTCGGAAGGCACGTTAAGCCGTTGGTCCCGGCTGCATCTGCAGTCGTTAGCACCCACCAACCCTCACTGGGCCCGCGTGGTGGGTCATGGCCCAATCTCCCTAATCCATCCATAGGGAAGGCCTGTGCCCCAGCAGTGGGGACATTAATAGGTTGATGATGATGATGATGATGAAAGTCAATAATCTATTACAATAAATCGTTATTATAGACCTAAACCTATTGAATCTATTTATAAGTTGATTTTTAATGCTGTATTTTCAATAAAAAGGAGTGCCAAGATTGTTTACCAAATAGGGCAAGTTAGGATGAATGTCAATGCAGTGTTTTATATATTTTTTTGTTTTCTTCGTCTTTTATTTGTATCAATTACAACTTGTAAAACTGTTTATATTTAATTAATAATATTTGTAAAAATGACTATTCTAGACGTTCAACTTTGATCCAATATGATTTAGCCTTCCTTTAACTAGTAAAAGTAGGTATGCAACGATACCGATTCGATAATCGTGTATCGGTTAGTATCGTTAGTTTCTAAGATCATTCGCTATCGTAAAAATTACGATGAGATATGCACGATTCACTGTTTTACAATATTTTTCAGTTTCGAGTGAAACTAAGCTTCAGTAGATCCGAGTCAAACTACTCAGGAATTAGCGGCTTGGTTTAACCACACCTACAATATTGACTCATTTGCATCAAATCAATAAGATAAACAATATGAAAAATCATCAATTGACTGATCTGCAGAAATAAACGTGTGTTGTAACTGGCTTTGCCTTGTTGGATCGGAACAAAAGTGAAGAAATATTGAATCGAAATATGACATGTGACGAAAAGTGGATTCTTTACGAAAACCGAGAGAGAAAAATATATTAGCTGAGCCCAGGTCTAACCGCTACAGTGCTCGAAGGCAAAGCTTACCAATAAAAAGGTAAATAAAAGGTAGTGGTAACTGCTTGGTGGTCTAATAATGGTGTTATTCACTATAGCTTAATTATTCACTATAACAGCAAATGTTTACTGTGCCGAACTTCGAGCAATGATGGCAAAACTAGCAGTGAATCAGGCCTGACTTGTGAATTGATCTTTACCATTATTTCTCCATGAACGCAAAACTTTACACTCTGCACGAGAATGCGCTGTAACTCTACAGGAGCTGCAGTAAGAAACCATACATCATCATCCTTACCAGATAGACCTTGCTCTAACGGCTAACTATTTCGTGATTTGATAAATTTTCTACGTGGTAAAAAATAAAATCTTCCCAAGAGGATTGCCTCCTAGGAAGTTTGTAGAATTTAGATCCTCTGGTTCTATCGCAAAGACATAAATTAACTTCTGAGTAGTTAGAAACAATGTATGAATGATGAGAGAGAGTAAATACTTTGATAAAATAAAGAACAATGGCGAACTCATACAATATTTTACATTTTTTTGCGTCTATAAATGAATTACATGTTAAATTATAAAGTTTAGATTCTCGATTTGATTCGTCTTATTTATACTTTGAAGTTTTGGTTATGTCATACCAAGTAATACAAAAACGAATTATAAAAGTATTTTTAGATCAAAATTAAATATCATATTAATATTTTTAATTTTAATATTTAATTTTAATATTATTTATATTAATTATAAAATTATATATCATAATTTTATAATTTTTTATATTAATTTTTAATATCAATTTATATATTAATTTCATATTATTATTAATTAAATATCCGTGGAACGTAACTATAAAAGTATACCGGTCCCGTAGATTATTGACGAAAAAATAAGAAAATTTTTATAAAAATATGTGTGATCAGCGGGCGTACTGAGCGACCGCGTCAAAATACTTCATCATCATCATCATCATCAGCCTATTAATGTCCCCACTGCTGGGGCACAGGCCTTCCCTATGGATGGAATAGGGAGATTGGGCCATGACCCACCACGCTGGCCCAGTGCGGATTGGTGGGTGCTAACGACTGCAGTTGCAGCCGGGACCAACGGCTTAACGTGCCTTCCGAAGCACGGAGGAGCTCGAGATAATAAATTTTTGGTCACCCATCCAATGACCGACCACTGCGAAAGTTGCTTAACTTCAACGACCGCAGCCGAACGCGCTAACCACTTGCGCCATCGAGCTCCTCGTCAAAATACTTATTAATCCTTAAAAGACGGGTTATTGAGTTCGAATACAATGGCTGTGCTGTAAGAAGAACTTAACAATTTGTAAATGCCCACTGCAATAATAAAGCATAAAAAAGTATTTCTGATAGTGTTCTAATGGGATATTAATTAAATATGAAACACTTTTTTTATATATTTATCATTCCACATCTTTAATCACAATATCACAGATAGTGGATACAACGAAATAAAATTTACAGTATGGGACAGAATCTTGTCCAAAATCCACAGCAAGAAGTCGTCCAAAATATCAGATTCTTAGGCCCATATTACAGAATGACTTTACTTGAGTACAGTTAGAAAGGGATGTCGCTATGTGGTATATATATCGACATCCTTTTCTAACTATGCTCAAGACTAGATCAATCACTGAGAATCTTTCTATAATACGGGCCTTAGTCTTAGGCAAGCACTACTCAACAGTCGCAGGGGAAGATCTCGAAAGTCCAAAAGCAGTCTGTCACATAAAAAGAAACTCAGAAAAAACACACAATAAATAAAATAAAAAAATAGTCAATTGTGTTTCCCTTTTTTAAGTTTTTTATTCCAGACTTAGACAGCCCTCCTCAATTATTTAATAAATCTTTTGAGATTATTTTATTAACATTTCTGATAATGACATCTATAGACGCTAAAGATTTACTTCAACAAATACTTCGCCATTGTCCTATAACATTTCCGAAAAATACTTTTTTTATTTTTTCAGAACAAATCGGCAATTTTGGTCCTTGAGCCCCTAAAATGTAAACACTTCTGTATGGTGAACGCTAACGATCAGGCGTATCACCAAAAACAGACGCTAACCATAAAATTATCTGCATTCCGATATTTGTGGGTAGCAAATAAAAAGTCTAATACGACCTATTGACAACTAAATTTTATTTTAAACATACTCACTAGGTGTTATTTTCCCAGGTTCCAAAAAACTTTCAGATTGTGGTTCATTAATGCCGCCACTCAGAAAACGTTGTTCTACTTCTATGAAGTGCCCCATCGTTACAATTGTGACTGCAAAGTATACCTGAAATCAAAAAATCTCATGAAAATTTACATATATTTTTTTAATGGTTCCGTTATTAAATGTAAATGGAGATTAGGGCATGCAAAAACCGGACGGTTTTGGAAAACCGGTTTTTTCGGTTTTCATAAAAAAAACCTGTTAAATCGGTGTTTTCGGGTTTGTGTCAAAAAAGTCAATAAAAACAGTAAAATATGCGTATTAAATGGAACAATTCCTCGCCACTCGCCAGCACTTATCATGAAAGAGCCTGTAGAATATATGCAACCAAAGTCTCTGCGCAGTTCTAAAGGCTCCAGATTCTCCGCTAGCTTGGGGTCATTGACAATCCTAATCATGCGTCTTTGTCTAGAAATAAAATTCGATCGGAACTCCCCGATTGGTAATCATGGGGATCCAACTGATATTTGGCAGCTCTAGCACAGAGATGTGAGCAGTACCCTTAGTACGAACCAATGTCAAAATCACTACGTTTGTGAGTGCGAAATGTCATTAAAAATTTTCGAATGGAAACTTGAACAGCAGCGCCACAACGGACGTAACGAGAGTTTAAAATCAGTACACATTTAACGTGTTTCTAGATCGAATTCAACTATTCGAATTCGATAATAGTTCGTGCTAAGGGTACAGTACTCCATCTGGGGAATAATTTGCGCTTTGTAGAACAGAAGCCTTTGCTTAGAGGTGAAGTACTGATTCGACCGATTAAGAACTCCCAAGCGTTTTAGGGGCCATTTTGGCCTTGCCCTCTAATTGATCTTTCTATATTGGACGTCGCACGAGATATAAACACCTAGTATCCCAACGATATTAGAATGATGCAGCGGAACTTTTTGAAATTGTGGTGTGACGGAAAATGAGTCCGTTTTTTGCAATGAAAAGATATAAACACCTAGTATCCCAACGATATTAGAATGATGCAGCGGAACTTTTTGAAATTGTGGTGTGACGGAAAATGAGTCCGTTTTTTGCAGTAAAAGCGTAAACTTGTGTCATGCTAGTGTTGAACGAGACGAGGTTCTGACTTCCACATTCGGAGACTTAGTCAAAAGAACCCTCCACTTCGAACATAAGCTTAGTCAGCCATTCCGAAACTACAGCTGCAAGGATGTTTGGGTGGCCGGTATACCGAGCATCACACATGTTGTTATCTGCATAGCAAATCATGCCGAAAACTAACAGCATGTCATTGATATGTATGTCGGGGAGAGTAACGAACCTTATGGAACTCCAGCATTTATCATAGGTTCGGAGCAGCAGTAATCGATAACAACTTTAATACTGCTACTGTTCAAGAAGTTGGATATCCACTTGCAAAAGCCCCTCAGGTATAGCCCGTGAGATGGTAAATTCAATAAGGGTGCTCTATGCAAGACCCTGGCAAACCCAGGATATCCAGGCTCACTGCAAGGACTTCACCTTTTCTATCGACGGCTTTAGCCCAACGGTGGTTGAAATTTACGAGAAGATCACCAGCCAAACGAGCGTGGCGGAAACCGTTGTGTGGGTAGCTAATAAGCTGGGGACCATTCTCCTAACGGTATTTGAAAACCTTCGGTGGTCAGAAATGACAAAATGAAATCGTAAGCGATAGCGTTTTCCAAAGCAATCCCGTTAGGCGAATCCTCTCCTGGTGCTCCTCAAGGTATCTCAAAAGGCGGGTTTTGATCACCCGCTTCATCACCGTAGAGAGCAGAGATATGCTCGCTAAAGACCTGTAATTTGCAAGATAAGATTGGTCACCCTTTAAATACACTATTTTATCACCTATAAACGTGACTGGAGAGAGAGACTGACTGACAAAACAAAATGCCTGCGGGACTTGCACGACGATCGAGCGTAAAACGCTGTCCATTTTACAAATAAGGTTTCTTCTTTGTGAAATATTTAAAAACTACTTACAGGGAAGTCATTATTTATTTAAATTTTTTTGTCCCTTAATGCGTAAGTAAAAACGTTTTTGTGTCAAGTTCGCGAAAAAACCAGTTTTATGACAAGAGAAAACCTAGTTCCAAAATCTATGAGTTGTCTCGTTGTTGTGGTTAGTCGGTTAACCGGTTGCATGCCCTAGTGGAGATCCAATATAAAAAGCTCTCATTATCATTGTACTAATTAATAATTGCAGTAAATAAACGTTATAACCCTAAATAAAATCAGACCAGTAGTTTTTGAGATAATCGCGGACACACAAACATACAGGTCAAACAGAGAAAACTGTACTTTTTTGAAGTCTGGTAAAAAAACTGAAATTCAAATATATAATTTTATGAATAGTCCAGGAAATGAAGCATTTTGTTTACATGGATTTACTTGAAATTTCCACAGAGGATAGGGAATAGCCCTAGGATTAAAATCTATATCATGCCGAGGGGCTTTTTCCCAGCCAGCCCATCTCGGATGTGGAATTTGTTTAATACTTTTTAATTACAGAAATCGATTCTAAGTACAAAATATTCTATACATATTTTTCCCAAAACTATTATTTTACGAGTTGAAAGAAACAGTTATTCGACAAAAAAGTCTATGGTTTAATGGGGTTTTCACAATAATATATTAATTTTTGGAGATTACTCCTTAAGAATCGATTTGCATATATAAGGAGCCCGGTATGAGAAAAATGTGAGGAGAAAATCTATCGATGAATGACTTCGTTACGTTTTTGGTGCGCATCCTATGTCGCGCAACTTTGACAAACAAAGATGACGGATTGACATTCATATTTTTTTTAAAATCTGAACTGAATTTAGATATTGTTTCTGATAGAGCAATGGGGACAACGAGGTATGGTACAACCATTGATGCGGTATTTTCAAGATTCGTGAACCACGTATCTACGAACGTCCATGTGTCTTATTTTAGTTACCATAAACCACTTGTCACTGTAATTAATAATGCAGACAATGTTGATTTAATTAATATTTAAAAAAATGATAATAGTCTGATAATAATAATTACATAATTTATCAACATTCCTAATGATATATTTATTCACATCTGAAATTGACTATTGTAAAAAGTTTAATGTAAAATATTTCGTATTTAGTTATAATAAATGTATATGAAATGAATAAATATATATTTATATATGTATATTATTTTCATTCATTTATTAATTTACCCTTTCATACAGTATCAATCTTTTATAAGTTAAATAAACTCTTTTTGCGTCTGGTTAGACTATCGAACTTAAGGAGTATACTCCAGTCGTGCGTCGGAGCTGACACACACATTTTTTTTTCAATAGGCTCTAATAAGCGTATTTTTAAGTGTTAAAATATTCTGAAATTGTATTTCAAAGCATAAAACAATCATCATTCAACTCATCCAAACCAAATTTTACCAAGGTTTAAATTCAATAAGTTTAGACAGATAGGAGTAATTTTCTCCCTTAAGAAACGATCAGCAACCATCGGCATAATAAAGATTTTGAAGTGGAGGGTAAAATGCGCATATTTCTATTTTTTATGCAAATCGATGAAGGACGAATAAATTGAGAGGATTTGCCATTTTTTGAGCTTCATTTCCTGGACTATAAGGAAAGTATTGCAGGGCTAAGTTAAAATGTATTTTCTACCACACAATTGTCCTGATTTCAATTTATTAAACGATTATTTGATGCTATTCGATCATTTTCTATGTCCATGGTGTTTTTTAAGTGGCAGCACATACTCTAGAAACTTTTAATCCTTATCACCAGAGATGTCTTAAATTATGGCAAAAGTGCAAAACAAATGTGTAAATATGTACACATATATATGTACTGATAATATTTGGCCCTTATATAAATACAAGTTTAAAGCACTGTTATTGCAGAGTTCTATTCACTTGCCTAACATTACTGATAATTTTGATTATTTAGATTTTATACAGGATAAAACCCATTTATATAAGATATTTACTGGTGGCTCTAAGTATGAAAAATGTGTTACTTCTGTGTTTTTACGGCAGATGCTTATGCCATCCTGCAGGCCTTACAGTATATAAAAACTGTAAATATTTGTAATGATTTTTTAATTGTCACTGACTGTAAATTCATCCTTTTAGCCTTATTAGGATGCCGTGTAGACTAACTTAAACTATGAGTGTATAGTATTAGGGATCAATTATATGAAACTATCAAACCAGTGAACCAAATGTTCACCAAAAAAAATATTTAATTAATTGAGAACTTCGGAGATTTTGTGTGGTTTCGTTTGAAATAGAAATCACGTTATTTCTCGAAAACCGGAAGTGCTACGTTACTCAAATCCGGTTTGTAGTCTTATCAGACTATTCTTAACTTATAACTTAAACATTCTCTTTATCTATCTCTTACGGTTTGGCCGCTGAAACAGCACCACGGACGGACGGACGGACGGACTTGTCTAATAGATAAGTAATGCAGGAAAGAAGGTGGAATTCACTTGGGTATTGCAGGGAATGAGATTATTGATAAAGCTCTCACTACTGGATATGATGAGGATCACACTGAACAATTTAAAGTTCCATTCACTGACTATTATTACAAAGGTTTAACAGTGAATATTAGAATCATATGGTCAATTTATTGGGAAACCATTAAAGAAACCAAAGGAAGTTGGTATGCTAGCATTCAATTTCAAAAAAATATTTTTTTCCTGCTCTGCTTTTGGGATCCATAGACTGTTACTTAACAGCAAACTTGAAAATATCTCCGAAGAATTGCAACGAAGTGTTCCCCGCCGCATTGTAGATATTTTATCGGAACCAAGTTTTTTCCTACCTGTTTTCCAGTTTGTGTGTACTCGTAATACTGTAAATAATTTGTAAGTAAGTTTAAGTGATTGAAATTGAATTTTATAAACAAGTTTTAGGTTAGATTAGTATAAAAAAAACTACATGTTTACATTTACAAATGATAGTTTTTAACTGTTATTGACAGTTGAGTCGCGTTTTGTGTACATTAATTTTTTTGGTTTATATATAAGATATTTAATGCATGTATTTACTTACTAATTTTAATATGTTGTAGTCTTATTTCTGTT